TGTTGCTGGACTCCCACGTAGTCAACCGTGGTTCAAGTCCCCGACCTGGTGGCTTAAAACTCACGCCGGGTGCGTGTGTGTGTGTGCCCAAGATCCTGAGAGGAGAATGGAGGAGAAGGGATTGCGGCGTGGCCATCCCCCCTCGGGGGTGATTTCTCGCTTTCTGTCTCTCTGTCGAGTGCACGCGCCCTTATAGCAAAAATCTCTCCAAAAAACAAAAAAAATAAGAGCCCGCCCCCGCGGCAGGGCAGCTGCCAGCTCTAGCCCCTTCAGTGCCGTGTGGTTGGGTCTGAGCAACAGAAGTAGATGCTGAGGGGCTGGCAAGGCCGTTCCTCAGCACAGCCCCAGCCCGGGCCCACCGAGTACCAAGAAATGAGCGAGGAAAGGAAAGTGTCAGACAACCGGTGGTTTATGGTGCTGGTGAGGTCTGCCGTGGGTTGCATACGGCCACCAGGTGCCCTGGCCTCTCCTAGGACTTGCCTAGACTGGTTGGCCTTGGCCCTGGGGAGCATGAACGATGCTGGTTAGCAAGCTGGAGATAATTCCAGGAGGGCGCAGGGCGGCCAGTGCGATCCACTGGGTCCTGGAACCACCTCTGGAGTCGCTGGTGGACTGCCCAGCCCTGGGACTCCTCCTGGACTAGCAGGTGTGCAACAGCCATGTGCTGACCGGCTGAGGCAGTGACACCGCGCGGATGAACTCCCTGACTTCCCCGTAAGCTCTCACAAAATCACGGCAAGGGCCTGGGGGCCAGCAGATGGCATAGCAGCTGCGTCAATGGACTCCCACATAGCTGACTGTGGTTCGAGTCCTGGACCCTGTGGCTTGAAAAATCACGCTGTGTGTGTACCCCAAATCCTGAGAGAATGGAGAAGGAGCTGCAATGCAGCCATTCTCCCTGGGAGATCATTTCCCACTTTCCCTTCCACTGTCTCTCTCTCTGGCAAGCACACATGCTCTAAGGCAAAAACCTGAAATTGAGTCAAAGCCCTGAGATTTAAACGCTGACTCATGAGGAAGCAAGGAAGGAGGCCTCTCTGGGAGGATGGGCAAGACCCCAGAGTCGGCTGGGCGCGGCAAGCTCTGCGTTTCTCTCATGGCCCTGGGACTCGCGCTCTGCTCAGCCCGTCGGGAGCTAGGCCTTGGGAGGAAGGCCTGACTAGAACAAGTTCTACAGAGGGGGCCAAGAGGAGCAGGGCCCTGGGCCAGCACTGCCCGCCTCGTGGCCACAGCCACACAGGGTGAGCTAACACGAAAACCTTGATGGCTCCAGCCACATCAGTGTGAGCCAGCCCTGTCTGGCTCTGGTCCTTGTATGGGGTCGGGACATGGCCATTGCGTGGAAGGTTCTGGTTCTATAGAACAGCACTGTCAGGTGACGGGGAGGGACAGGGAAGGAGGCCGAGCCAGCGGACGCTGGCGGCAGCACAGCCCACTTCTCTGACCAGGGGCCCGGGACTCGGGAGGCCCTACTGCCGGGTGGCCCTACCTAAGGACAGCCCGTTTCTCTTCTGCAGGACGTCCCTGTAGAAGCTCTGCTGCGTGTGGTCCAGCCGTCCCCACTCCTCCCGGGAGAGGTACAGAGCCACATCCTCAAAGGTCACTGGCATCTGGAACAGGAAACACCCACTCTCTGGTGTACGCCCTGCACACAGTGGAGGGACAAGGGCACCAAGACAGGATCGACACCAGACCCCAACCCACTTCTCAAGCAAGGCCTGCCTCAGATCTGCTGAAGTGGGGGAACCACCCAACGATGGCCTTTTCCTTTTTGGGGAACCACAGGTAATGCTCAGGGTGTTCATGTGCCTCCCTCATGAGACCCGGATGACAAGACACCCTCTCCACTTCCTTGTTTTTCTCCAGCTTTGGCCGGGCCTGGCCATGGGCCCCAAAGGAATGGGTGTAGCAGGGGTGGAGTGCCACGTGGGCCGGGCAGCAGTGCCTGGGACACTCACCTGGGACCAGGCAGTGAGGAGAGCTGCGGCCATCTGCCGGTCTCTGGCCCTCCCCTCGCAGGAAAGCATGGGGATCCCAGAGGAGGGGATGGCTGCAAGAGGAGAAGGGGCCTCAGGGGGGCTGGCTGGACCCTGCTGCTCCCCAGCAGCCTCAAACTCCAGTCCTGACCTGACCCAAGAGGGTCACACAAGGGCAGGCGGATACCTGGGGCCTCTTGCCATGACCCAGGCTGGAGTACTTCCCCACCCCGAGTAGGGACCCTCCACTCCACCCACAGCTGCCTGTCCTACCGAAGGACAGCCCCTCCTACCTGCACCCGGCAAGAACAGCACTTTCTCCTTCCAGCCACGACTCGGGGGTGTCCAGCCCCGTGCACTGTCAGCCCTGTCCTCCTGCAGCACCCCCTCGGGGTGCAGCTCCTCTGGCTCCGCCTTAACGTTCAGTGACTCCTGAGCAGCCCCTAAAGGCACTGTCTCCTCCGACCCAGAGACCGTTTCTTGACAAGGGTCCTTGTTCAAGGCTGTCACTCCTGGAACCTAGGAACGACAGCCCCCATCAGCACCCAGATGGAGGTCTGCATGGGGTGGGGGGTCCCACGAGGGGCAGACCTCTAGGCTGTCAGGCTGCACACCCAAATGTAAGGATCTGCTTGAAGGGTGGTCTTGCTCTTTCCCCTCGCCAGGCGCCCGCAGAAGGTCTGTCATGCTGTCGCCACCTGGTGCGGTGGGAGGGCAGCCCACAGGCAGTTTCTGCCCGTGAGGACTGCTGTGTTCAGTATCTGAGAAAACCAGGTGCGGTGGGCTGCACAGCATCCCTGGAAACACGTCTGCCTCGTACATGGACCCTTAGTTGGAGAAAAGCTAGCTGGGAGCATCCTGGGTTCAGAGCAGGCCCCAAGCCCAATGGCATATGTCCTTACAAGACTAGAAGGGGACAGAGATGGGAGTGACACACAGCGAGGACACCGGTGGCCGCAAGGAGCTGGAAGAGGCAGGAAGGAGCCGCCCAGGGCCCTGAGAGGGAGAACAGTCCTGCTGACACCTCGGTTTCAGACTTATGGCTCCAGGACTGTGGAAGAATACATTCTGGTTGCCTTAAGCCCCAGGGCGGTGGTAACCGTTACCGCAGCCGCAGGAAACGGACACACCAAGGCTTAGAGATTCAGCCATGGGATCCTGTCATTTCCCTGGCATGGGAGAGCCCTCAGCACCACCCACAGCACGGGACCAGCCAGCTTGCTCCTGGGAACTCACACGTGTTCCTCCACCCCTGAGTCTGGAAGAGAAGGCCCCTCCGGTCAGGAGCCAGTGAGCCCGGGTGCCAGCGCAGCACTGACCTGCGGGCAGCTCCTCCCCAGCTGCCTCCTGCAGAGTGGTTAGAGGTGATGCAGATAACAGGGGGAAAGCTCAGCTCTGGAATGTTCTGGAAAACAGAGCTGCGAGCCCTGGAAATGATTACTGTTAAGCTACCTGCGTGTACTTGACAAGACCCCGTCAGCAGGAAATGTGGCGTATGAGGTGGCGGGGAGCCAGGGAGTGTGTAAATAACCCTGAGGAAGGGAACAGCAAGGGGCCCCGTTCCCTGTACCTGTGCTAACACCCCTGCGATGCTGTTGAGGGTCTGCCTGTCTCGGGGTTCTGGCCTCAGACCACATGGGATCTGCTATGGGCGAGGAGCTGCCGAGACAGGTGGGGACAGCAGGGTCGTTGTGATCTCTACAGAAGACATGCCTTGTTCCTAGAGGCTGGGACTTGCCCGAGGTCACACTCCTGGCCTGGGCTGACTCACACTTCTGTGACTCCAAGCCCAGAGACCCCAGTCCCCCTGTGAGTGGCAACTACACACACACACACACACACACACACACGGCAGACGCGGGAAGGAGGGCTGTGGGCTGAGCGGGAATGATGAGGGGGTGGTCCCAGGTGGAGGGGAGGAAGGAGTAGTGAAGGCTGCCCTGCGTGCTCTGGGCACTGCTCCGAGGGAGGGTCTCCCTGGGAGGACCCACAAGTAGCCCCTGCCACCTCTGTGGCCACTGATCACGTCTTTCACCCACAAGGCCCAACAGTGATGGAGCAAATGCCAGCGGAGTTTGGCGCGGCATACCACTTTCTCCGCTGCCTCCCCCAGGGCCCCTCCCACCAGCCCTCCCCCCCCTCCCATACGCCCCCAGAAGTCCAAGCAGCCGCCGGGTCCCCCTGGCTCCGTCCATACCTCCTGGGCTCGGGCCTCCCCAATGCTCCCGCCGTCTGCAGACATTTCTCTATTTTAGAGCTCGAAAGAGCCGCCGAGTCGTTCCTCCCTCTTGTCGCCCAAGCTCTCTCTGGGCCCCCCTCTGGCCAGGAGCCTGGAAGGGCAGAAAGAAATCAGCCAGGATTTCCTGGGCACCTGAAACCTTCACGCCAGGCCAGAGCGCCCCGTCCCAGTGGAAAATAAAGTCTCCCAGATGCTGCCGACGGCCCACCGCCTACAGAGCTCTCCGCGCTTCCCCTGAAAGAGCGCTGCTGTGCTGTCCATTGTCGCGGCAGGGACCCCGCGCCCACGCCGGCACCGCCCCGTGCAGCCCGCCCGGGAGAGCGGCCGAGCCCAGTCGGTATTCCAGCACCAGAGCAGGAAGTTCTGCAGGGACCCTACAAAGCCGGGGCTGGGGGACCCTGCCTGCCACAGCCAGAGGGAGGCCCCCCGCCCCCGGACATGCACCCGAGCCCGGGCCTGCCTTCCGCCCTCCGGGGGTCCAAAGATCGACCTGCCGGCTCTCGGCAGCCTCCACGACTCGCCAGCCTGTCGGTCCTGGCAGGTGACGCCCTTCGCCTTCTCTGCCGGCCCGAAGCCCCTCCACCTTTGACCCACCCCTCCTGCCGGCTGCTCAGCTTCCCGGGAGCCGGGCACCCTCCCAGCACCCCCTTCTCACCGAGGTGACAGCATAGGGGGCACCAGGGGCGGTGGGGCCCCCTCGCCGGGAAGGGAGTCTCCGCAGGCTGCACAGGGTGGGCGGGGGAGCCGGGTGGAGACTGGGATTAGGGACAACAGGAAGTCCCACCCAGATCCCGTTCCCCACACAGCAGCATCCCTGACTCCGAGGGTTCCGGGCTGGGGTCCCAAGCACAGGAGGCACCTGCTCTGACCAGGAGGCAACTCCCGGCCTGGCAATGCTCATGACGATTGTTTCACCAGCACGTGCGCGTGACCTCGCAGAGCAGGGCCCCAACGCGGAGAAACGGGAGGATGCACGTTGCGAAGCGAATCTTTTCTTTGGGAATCTTTTTTTTTTTTTGGTATAGGGCTCAAGGTCCAGGACTTGAACCACGATCGACTACATGGGAGTCTAGCGATGAAGCCATTACACCAACCGTTGGTCCCGAGTGTTTTTTTTTTTGTTGTTGTTGTTGTTTGTTTTAATTATTTAATTTGGAACCGGCAAGTAGCGTAGTGGTTAAGGGAACTGGACTCCTACATGTCTGACCACCTGGTGGTTTGAGTTCTCAATTTCTCTCTCTCTCCCTGTCTCTCTTTCTCTCACTCGGTTCCTCTCTGGTCAATGAAGATAAATAAATATAAGTAAATAAAATAGAGTTTACTAATTATTTAATTTTATTTATCTAATTTGACCAGAGAGGGACAGAGTGTGAGAGAAACAAAGTGAGAAAGCAAGCCGCCAGGTCCAGGACTCGAACAGTGGTCAGCCATGTGGGCCCTTAACCATCACCTTAACCTCAGCCAGCATCCTTAACCACCCGTGCCATCTGCCAGCCCCGCCTGGCATGAGTTTTAAGCGGCTAGGTATGGGACTCAACCGCAGCGGACTACAGGGGAGTCCAGAGAAGTAACCATACGCCACCTGCTGGTCCCACTCATGCTAATTTCTTTCTTTTGGAGACATTTTAGCTATAGGGCGCGTGCGCTCGCTAGACAGAGACAGAGAGACAGAAAGCGAAAAATCAGGGGGGATGGCCACGAGGCAATCCCTTCTTCTCCCTTCTCCTCTCGGGATCTTGGGCACGCACGCACACGCACCCGTCGTGAGGTTTAAGCCACTGGGTCCGGGACGCGAACCGCGGTCGACTGCATGGGAGTCCAGCGGCATAGCCATTACGCTAACTGCGGGTCCCCCAACATGATAATTTCTAATCATCAGGATCAGGCAAGGTTGGAGGTGCAGCCATAGAAGGAAAAGCGTCACGACTGGGGAAAATAAAGAAATACGAGCGAGGTGAAGACAAACGAGCATAAGCAGCAGCAGAGCAATGTCAAACACTGAGAGGAGGAAACCGGAAGTGTCCGTAGGTGGTCCTCGTGGAGCAATATTTGTAAAAGAACACAAATAACTAAGAACTCCCAGGGCCAGAAGAGATTGGGGAGTGGGAGTCCGGGCGGCCCGCGGCCCGCTCACCCCCAGAGGCGCAGAGGCGACTCCGCTACCAGGGGCCCTGAGGCCCATGCAAGAGGACACAAGGAACCGTGTAGCGCCCCCAGCAGCTCTGCAGCCAGCGGGACGCAGCAACTACCCCGCTCCGCTCCGGATCGGCCAGCACGCCCACGGGCCAGCCGGTGATTGGCTAGCTCGCTATGGCCCCGCCCCGCCCCGATAAGCTCCGCCCTCACGTGCGCGCCTGCGTCCGCACCCGGGAGGATCTGCTCCAGAGATGTGAAGGGTCACGAGCGCCGGCCTCTCCCAGCCGGTGTCCCCGTGTTTCCCATCCGGCTGCCCATTGTAACTTCCGGTTTATTCAGGTGTCTCGTGGAGCCCTAGCTGTACTGGCCGGGCTCGGGTCGACCTGAGTAAGGAGGACCGCTGGGGGAGGGCGCGCCGGGCCTTGAGTTGCCTTCGGTCGGTCGTGGGAACTCTGAGGCTGCCTGCCAGAGTGCCCTTCGCTGGAAGCCCGGGAGAGCCGAACCTCGAAACTCGGGGAGAGAGTCCCAGGGCATCAAACCCCACACCTGCTCTGCGCTCTAGGCTGGGCTCCCTGGACAGGAGTCTACCTTGACACTCACCTGCTTTGGGTGTTTTGTTTTCGTTTAAAAAATCAGAGTACACTGCATGCTGGTGACTACGTTTGGTAGTCTGTGACATTTACCTTAAAGGGCCTTGGGCGGCAAGTAGCGTAATGGTTAAGGTGCTAGACTCCCACATGGGCAACCATGGTTTGAGTCCTGGACCGGGTGGCTTGCTTTCTCATTTTCCCTCTTTCTCTCTTTGATTAAAATAATAATGATAAATAAAGTTAATTCTTTTTTTTTTTTTTGAGAGGTTTTTGCTATAGGGCGCGTGCGCTCGCCAGACAGACAGAGAGACAGAGAGATAGAAAGCGAGAAATCACCCCCCAAGGGGGATGGCCACGCTGCAATCCCTTCTCCTCCATTCTCTTGGGATCTTGGACACGCACGCACGTGCGCCCGGCGTGAGTTTTAAGCCACCAGGTCCAGGATGCGAACCGCGATCGATTACATGGGAGTCCAGCGACATAGCCATTATGCTAACTGCTGGTCCCAATAAAGTTAATTCTTTATAAAAAAAAAGGGGGGGGGAGCTGGCAGGTGGCATGGTGGTTGAGGTGCTAGACTCCCACTTGTTCAGTAGTGGTTCAAGTCCCAGACCTGGCAGCTTGCTTTTTCACTCTCTCTCTCTCTCTCTTTCTGATCAAATTAAAATAAATTAATGAGTAAATAACATTATATAATTATTTTAAAGAAACAAAACTGTTCAATGTAGGTGTTGGTATGGCATGATGGTTAAGGTGCTGGACTCCCACATGATTGAATGTGGTCTGAGTCCCAAACCTGGTGGCTTGCTTTCTTTCTCACTTTCTCTCTCTCTCAAGCATGCATGCCCTGTAGCAAAGTAAATGGATACAATTAAATGAATAATTATTTAAAAAGAACCATTCTATGTAAAATACAATGAAATAAAAGAAAGGTGGAGAATGCGCTGTGTTGTCAGGCTATTTTGGACGTGCAACTATGACTATCACACAACTTGTTGAACCAGGCATCTGGTCACATCCAGTTCTGCTCCTCGGCCCTGCAGAACCTGACGCTGTCCCTGCCGCTATTAAGAAGCCTCGGAGACCACATCTGAGCTCAGTGAGCTTGCAAACTGGCGGCACTGCTCCTGGAGGAGTTTCCCCAGCCCCAGGCAGCTGGATCCAGGCCAGGCAGCCTCCGCATCTCGCTGCTGGCAAAAACAGCCAGCAGTTAGCGTAATGGCTATGTCACTGGACTCCCACGTAGTCGACCGCGGTTAGGGTTAGGGTTAGGGTTCCGGACCCGGTGGCTTAAAACTCACGCCGAGCACGTGTGCGTACGTGCCCAAGATCCCGAG